TGGCCTGGGGGGGCGGGGCTGTAAGTGGAGGATAGGGCAGCGCCCAACCTGGCCGCCGCCTTCTCTCTGTGGAAGAGCCCGGGAGGCACGGGCACAGGGCTGTCGAGGGAAAGCTGGACCCGCGGGAAGCGCGGAGGTGGCGGGCCTGCCGGCGGGGCCTCCTAACCGCACAGAGCCGGCGGCTGTAGGAAGACGGACTCAGCGATCTCTGCACGGCCCGGCCCGGGAGAAATCAGGGCCACAGGAGAGAGAAGGGCGGCCGCCAAGGATACACGGAGTTCCTTCGACGTTCTTCCTCCGTGTGTTTGAGAAGCCTACCATGTACGATGTCACCCTAGCTTTTAAATGCGGAACAGGGTAGGTCGAGTGGTGGCGAAGTGGAGATGTTTAGCAGTCTCCCCAGAAGGCTTCAAGGACAGAGTACTAACTGGACACTCTGGGACCGTCTGGGGAGCAGCAGGTGGACACTGGGCACAGGTGAGGTCGGGGTCGCCCACCTTCTACTGGCGGGAGCTAAGTAGTGCTGCTGGGGAAGGGGAGACGCCGAGGGGTGCTGGCGGGACTCGGGGCAGGTGGGCGAGCCGGGGCCAGAGGGAGAAAGACAAATCAAAGTTCACCCTCCTGCTCCTTAACAGAAAGAAGCAAGTCATAAAATAAAACGCATGTGTGTATGCTGCATAACGTACGGCGAATACGAGCACGCAGGAGGAGAAGCCCGCCCCGTCCTGGATATCCTGGGTCTGCGCGCCCTCGGGCAGGTGCTGTGTGTCTCCCGGAGTCGCTGGCCGTTTGGCGGCCTGGCCCTCTCAGGTATCTGCCCGGCCAGGCCAGGGCTGGGCCTCAGGGAAGACCCTCCAGTGTGGAGGACGGAGAGCCTGGAGGACACTCTGGGGCTCCGAGGGGTGGTTTTAAACGCTATCCGAGGGCCCTGAGGCACCTCCCGGCCCGTCTGCGGGGAAGAGGAAGTACAAGTCCTCTGCACGCTTCCCAAGATGCACGGGTCCGCCTGCCCCCTGGGCAGACCCTTCGTCCAACAGTGGCACACAGCAGACGTGCCATCAATCGTGGCTGTTATGACCTTTACTAATAAGCCCTAATGACCTGACACTGATGACCTTCGTATTGTTTTCTCCACTTTGTAGGTGAAAAGAATGAGGCCCGGCGTGTCCAGAACCGGCTGCATGCGGCAGCGAGTAGTAGAGCCAGGCTGACTCTTCCTGGGACACAGTAGCTAAAGCTGTCCTGGTGCTGGACCTGACCGTTCCTCAGTGACGCTGGGGCCTGACTCGCAGGAAGCCGATGGGCGACGGGTTTGGGTTAGCGGGGAGGGCGGTCCTGTAGTGGGGCCTGGAATGCTACTGCCGGGATCCAAGATGACGAAGTGACCGAGCTGCAGCAAGAGCTGCTCTGGGTAATAGGAAACAGGAAACCATGCCACGCGGCGATGTCCCCCCGGAGGACTAGATTCAACCACCAAGCCCCAGGAGCCAGTGAGCTTTGGCAGCTCCAATCCGACGAGATGGCCGAGTTGGCCTGCAGGAGCCCCAAGACCCAGGGCGGGGGCAGGCCACTGGTCTGCAGCTGGGGACAGCTGTGGGAGCAGCTCCGGGAGCGGGGTACTAAAGCAGCCCCGTGACCAGAAAGCGTGAGGAGGTGGTCAGCTGGCAAACTGTGTCATGAACGTTTGTCCCAAACGAGGAGATTCCTACTCCCGAGGACTTCCTGTGGGAGGCTCTGACAGTGCCCACGTGACGGCCTGCAGGAGGCACATTGTGTCCTACCTGCCAGAGGAGCTGTTTGACTATTCACTTTTGAACTAAAATCTTAAAATTTGGGCAGCACTTGTCAGTTTACATGTGACCTCACATAAGTCCTGCCTCAAGTCTATGAAAGGGTACAACTGCCCTGACTTCACAAATGATACCAGGACAGCTAAGGTCACTCACTAACAGCAGGTAAGAGGGAAGGCCAGACAATGGGGCTCCCAACTCCAGGCCAGGGGAGGGCCCACACAGGTCATGGTCCTGGCCCCACTGCTCCCCGCTGTGCGAGCCCAGGGCAGCTTCCCGGCCCTGAGTCTTGCTTTCCTTACCTACGAAATGGACACAGCCTCCCAGGGTGGCTGTTAGGACTCAGCGAGATAAGTGCATGGCAGGGGATCACACAGCCGTGCCACTGGGTCCCCACAGGGCTACTGCTGGTAATCTCGGGAGGGGGCTGGAGCAGATGCCCTCTCTGGGCTGGTGTGCAGAGTGATTCTGGAGTTGAAGATGGGCATGGAGACTGAGAACAGAGACCTGGGCTGACCCTGTCCCGCCCCACGGGCCGCTGGTGACCCTGGTGACTTCTGCAGCCTGTGTGGTTCCTGACCTCACGCTCACTGCTCACCCACCCTGTAGGTTTTTGCTGGCCCCTAAGTGAATGAAAGCCAATAATGACTTCTTTCAAACAAAACAGAACAAAATGACTTCTCTGCTGGAGGAAACAGGAGCTTTCCCACCTCCTCCCACCCGGTATTCTGGAAGCTTCAGCCAGAGTGAAAGGGAAAGAAAAAGCCGTCTTTACACCGGCCTCCAGCTGAGGGTGGGAGAGCTGGCGGTGGGCAGTTTCTGGAAGAAACTTCAATATTAAGGGTTTCCCCGTTGTCAACCAGAACCTGCTTGGGACTTTCCAGAGGGGTCAGGGGCCTGGCAGTGACGCAGATGTTTGCATTACATGCTTCAGATACAGTTTCCATCACTCCCGCTGTGATGTTCCAACCCGCAAACACACACACACACGGTTCCCAGTCAAATGCCAACGGCTTTGTGGGGCGGCGTGGGGACTGCACATATGCTGTCGGTTCAGTACCGAGTAACAGAGGTGTGGCCCTGAGGAATAAGGAAGCTCCAGCTAGCTCCTACTTCACGTTTCTCTGGTGACTCGACAAATATTTACTGAGCGCCCGCTGCCTGCTGGGCCAGGCGCGGCACACCGGGGCTGGACAGGACTGTCCCACAGAAGGACATTTATCGATTCTGTGTCTCAGTGAGAGCTCTCCGGGAGAAAAGTGGCCCCTAAGCCCCACACTGGCAGTGGCTGCTCATGGCCCTAAGCCCCACTGGGTTCCGGCAGCGGGTACTTGGTCAAGCTGGTCATTCCCCCGGGCCTTGTCCTTCGCGTCTGTAAAAGGAACACACCGCTCTCTCCCAGTGAGAATTAAAAGGAGAAAGCAAGCAAAGCCTCCGGCCCGGCTCCTGGGATACAACTGGTACTCAGAAATATACTAATTTTTTTTTCTACTGTTTAAGTGTAACTTGAAAAAAAATTGCCATGACATTGCTTCCAGAACAGAATGGTGGTGAGAAAAGAAGGAAGGAAAGAAAAAGAAAAAAATCCCAAAGTTCTGGTTCAACGAAAGGACGGACACAAACGGAACGAATTCGACCGCTGTCTGGAAACAGGGACAGGCGGCCTCGAGCTAGCAGAGGGCAGTGACTAGTCCTGGACCTCAGTGGCCCTGGGGCAGCACGATGGCATGTGCGTGCGTGTGTGTACCCCCGTGCGCGTGCCCGTGCGTGGGGATCTGCCCGGGGCAGCACTCACCTTGGTCTTGATCTGCTTGGCCGTGTCCGTGAGGAAGATGGAGGAGTTGGGGTCGCTGGCGCTCATTTTGGTCTGGGCCCCCTGCAGGGCGGGGAAGAAGGTCGAGTGCAGCAGGGCTGGTTTGGGGTATCCGATCCTGGGGGCTACGTCCCTCGTCATCCTGAAGTAAGGGTCCTGTGGGGAGAGGGGTGTTTTGAGGGTGGCGGGAAGAAATGCGCCAGCTTGTAGCCCGTGGACACCTGGGGGCCTTCGCGGCAGACCCCAACTTCCAGCCAGTTTACAGAATCGACTCTTCACCCTGCTGCCCTCCAAAGCCACCTTCTCACTGGAGAGCGCAAGGACCCTCCTGTGACAGCCCAGACCGATGACACCCCGCTCTGCCTCCTGACCTGGTCGATGGCACAGGGGATGAGGCACTGGACATCCGTCTTGTCTTGGAAGATCTGAGGGAATGAGTTGCTGAAGGAGGGAGCAGCCTGGATGGCGGGAAAGCTGATCTTCCCTGAAAGTGAAGACGACACCTTCACACTCGAGACCAACTCTTGTCCCATTAATTAACCCAGTGAGAGAGGAACAAAAACAGGCTTTCTTCCCTTTGGAAAAGTAATAATCTCTGCAGAAAACTACAGAAAAGTCAAAGGAAAAAATCTAGAGCCCGATTCACGTCTCTTCCATGTTCCCTCTGCTTCTGCGCACTTCAGCTGTGACCGGTCTAGTTTCGCCCTCGTCTCTTCCCGATGCAGCATTTGACCATGAGGGTAAACACATCCCATCCTGTAAACGCACGGCCTGGCACTTCAGCATTCTGTACCCGCTGGGCATTTAGGCTGCCCCTCACTTTTTGATTTTATAAATCACGATATCTTGATACATAAAACTGTTTTCAACACTTGGGATGCTGTTGTTAACACTGCTGCTGCCATCTGCTTAGACCTGCAGAAGGAGGATTTTTGGAACCAAGGGTGTGGACCTGTGGATCACTGTGGACAGGTGGTGCCAGTCTACCCGGCCAGGCCCCTCGGGCCGTGGTACTGGGGTACTTGGGGACAATCAGGCCTACGCTGGAAGCAGGCGTGGGAAGCTGGAAGTCGTCCAGACCCTTCCCTACTTTCTCCTAAGCCTTAAGACGGACGCCTGAGGAGCGGGCGGGCTGGCACCCGGAAGCAGCTGCACACGGCTCAGGAAAGTGGCCGAAGGCATCACGCCAGCTCCTGCGCTGAGGAAAACCACCTCTGGGTTTGCTATTTAGAGACAAATCGCAAATGTCACCACATCAGCGACAGCTCAGGCCCAGGGCTGGTCCTCTTACCAATGCAGTCACTGTCCGTGAAGCCGAAAATGCCTTTTGCCTGGTTGAAGGTGACGTGCTTCTGAATCTTCACCACATTCTTGTAGAAGCTGGGGCTCGCCCTGCGAAGAAAGAATCAACCGCGCCCAGTGGGTGCCTTCTGGGTGGCCTTCCGCTGAGGGCAAAGCGGCAGGTGGTGAAAACCTCGGGGCGACACCACTGGGGACGCTGGCTGGGGACAGAGGTGCCCAACAGCCCTGGTGGGCAAGGACACTCGCCGCAGGCGAAGCAGACACGCCTTTCCCTGTGGAGTGGACCCAAGGGTGCGAACCGGGGTGAAACCAGCGCAAGATGACAAGCAACCCAGGCGAGGGGGACA